CAAATGTTTGTCATTACTAACCACCAATCGGTTCGTCTCAAAGTATAGTTGCACCTAGTACATACACTCTCCAATGGATTCATACAAATGTTTGCCATTACTAACCATCAATCGATTCATCTCAAAGTATAGTTGCACCTAGTATATAATTGGTTGATTCAGTTTTATCTAGCCTAATTGATTTTAAAGTGAGGTAAGTCCAAATAAAAATATTCTAATTATAAAAAAGTAATAGATTCTATAAAGGATAGAACCTATTATGGAACCCAACTTTACAATGCACCAAAAACAATTAGCATCACTTTCATTAACAATCAGATATGAAAATTGTATTTGCACTTAGCCAAATAGAAGCATCCCCACATACATTAAAAGTAGACATAATATTATGTAGTACTCCCTCTGTTTCTAAATGATAGTCACAGTTTGAGTTTTCGAAATTTAAGAGAGCAAAATTTTTAACCTTGACTTTCCCTAAATACCCTCACAAAAGCAAGAGTATTACCTAGATATACCCATGGTAAAAACAGAAAAGAAAGCCGCAAGTAAGGGGCAAAATGAATGAATCATTTTCATGTATGGTAGAACCATCAGTTCTGCTACAGTACATGGCTAAAGATCTTTATTGTCCATTTTCGGATTTCCCTCCAAAATGGAATGTACAAGAATCTGAAAGTTTCTAAACATCACAAATCCCTCCAAATTTTACATTAAACACACTACTCATATAAACACAAGTCTTTCATTACAAACAAAACAGCCTTGAACAAACTAACACACACAAATGGAAGTAGCTGAGCTCCCAATAGCTTCGGAACAGCCTCTGGGTGGGCAACTCGTCCCCATCTCACCTGCAAACATGTTTGAAACAGAAAGTGAGGGAGAAGGACAAACATCAAAACATCGAAAACCTAAATTAACATAAGAAGATAGAAGGTGTAGAATAGAGAAGTTGTTGAGCATGTCTACTCTAGGGAAACTTCAGAGGGGCATAATTACAAGAGAAAGGGTCCACAGGATCTCGAGGAAAGCAAAAAACAGATGCATGATGGTGTAGCGATAAACGTGCAAGAAACTTGAGAGGTAATGTAGGCATAAAAAGTATTGCCTTAGACAATTAGAAAATGAAAAAAATATCATTGCATCAAAAGAAAAATAGAAGAGATTTGGGCTATGCTATGCAAGTGTCCAAGTCTACAGTCTGTAGGTGGTATAAAAGAAAGCAATTCAAAAGGCATTCTAGTGCTATCAAGTCACTCCATACATATGTTGGAAAGTTGAAAAGATTATAATACAGTTTGAGTCATATAATCACACATTCCCGACCAACAACTCCTACTCTCATGACTTCTATGATTACATACACATTGATAAAAAGTGATTTTGCCTATCAAAAGAAACAAACACATTCTACATTGTTCCAACAGAAGAGGATCCATACAGAACAGGTGTTAATAGGCGCAATAAAAAAGTTCATTCCAAAGATAATGTTCCTAATAGATGTTGGTAGGCCGAGACTAGAAAATAATGGGGAGATTTTATGGGATGGGAAAGTAGACATATTTCCATTCACACATGAAGAACCGGCCAAAAGGTCAAGCAAAAACAGACATGATGGAACTTTAGAGACAAAGTCAATGTTAAGTGTGACTAAACCAGTCATCAACTACATGATTCTAAAAAAAGTTATCCTAACAATCAAATGGAAGTGAACTGATTAAGAAAACAGACATGTCATAATACAACCTGAGAATGCACACCCTCATATAAGGGATAATGATCCTGACTTTGTCGAGATTGGGACACGGGATGGTTGGAACATTGAGCTAAAATGTCAGCCTCCAAATAGTCCAGACTTGAATGTTCTAGACTTGGGATTCTTTAGGGCAATTGATTCAATCAAAGATCAAAAGGGGCAAAGAATATTACAGGTTTAATTGAAGTTGTAAAAACTTCTTTCAATGAGCTTACACCAAACACATTGAACAAAGTTTTTTTAAGCTTTCAATGTGTAATGAAAGTAGTACTGTAAAACAAGGGAGGCAACAAGTTCAAATTGAACTATATAGGCAAAGACAGGTTGGAAAGGCAAGGGCTATTACCAACCAATGTCCAGATTAGTGCCCAAGTGTATGAAACAGCTAGGGCATACTATAAAGGACAAGTGGAAACTACTAATGCAGGCCAATCATCAGGACAGTTCATGAATGAAGAATAGGCATATCTTCAAATGTGAACTGTTATGCCAGGTTTAGTTTCAAATTTTGTGTTCTACACACACAAGTGTTAATGCTTTTTGTATGCTTTTTGTATGTACATTGGTATGGAAGTACAAGTATTGATTCACTGCCATGTAGTATATGTACAAAATTTTTGTAAGCCCAAATGCAAAATTATAGTGCCATGTAGCATTTGAGTTGCAATGCACACATTTAGAAATGCAAACGGTTAATTGGGTTCTAAACAATAGTGAATAGCAATTAGAGCCTCCACCAATTTTGCAATTTGGGTGACATCGGTGCAAAACAACATGTTAAATAGGCAACAAATTCAGTAAACATGAACTCAAGCCCCATAACATCACAAAGTTTCCCAGTAATCACTAAACACCAACTCACATAAATGCACGGTACCAACAAAGAAACAACAAACATGCAATTCACCTGAACATTTTCAAAAGTACAGAGAAATAGGGAGTACAAGCTACTTCCCTTTGAAGTAACGTCAGGGCTCCTCCTCCCCTTCGTCCCCTTCATCTGAATCATCCTCTGAACATTTCAGGTTGCCACCTTTATTCACCGCCGCCGAATACACCTCCTCTAAATCTTCCAAGCCGTCCAGCCTGTCGTATGTGTCGAACACAAGGTTGCCCCCATATTTCTTTCGTATCGCCCAATTCGTATATGTCTCAGACTCACTTGAGTCACCAAAATGAAGAATCCTTATAGAAAAAGACCTCGCTGGCGTTGCATGCAATGGATCTATACGTCGACCATTTTCCGATTTCAGATTTAAGACTGGTGTGAGCTTCCCTCCATCTAAAACACTTTCTGATTGCATATGTAAAGCCAAAGTAGGGGTTTTCACTGTTGACGGAGAGTAGAGTTCAATTGTGGCTTGGTAGAGAAGGGGTAGATGGGTAGCAGCGTAATGGTGGTAAACAACTGAGACAAGGGCGAAGGGGTATACAGAAGAGACGCAGTGGATGGGTAATAATAGACTGGTGGTTAACGACGGAGAGGACGAAGAGAGTATGCAGAGGATAGAGGTGAAGAAGATAGTGAATGGGGAGGAAGTGTGTGGTTGAGAATATCAATGGGTAAATTAAATGGCGCAGTTGGTTGGGAAGATAGATGGGATAGGAACCAAACATTCCAGCCCATCTGGTTGTGAGGTTACCGTGCCTAGTGGGAGATCTCGAGTTTGAATTTCGTTAGGCACACAAGGGTTGGAAACTCAATGGAGTGAGTTTCAGCCCTGATTACTCTAGGCTCCCCCCAGCCCCCTCCCCCAGACCCCTTGGAGTAAAAAAAAAGATGGATGGGATGGGATAATTAATGGGAAAGAGATAGGAAGGTAAATTAAATGTTGAAACTTATCAAAATGGGAATTGTGGCTTTTATTTTGGAACATCTATTTAAGGAAAGTGTGACTTTAATTTAAGGACGGAGGAGTATTATAATTTATAAGAGAAAACATTATGTATATCAGCATGTGAACCAATGTAGAAGATTGATGACACAATTTTTTATCGGATGTCCTCGAAAGGACAGAAGATTGATGACACAAACGCTTACACGATGAAGGCCCGGTACCGGCCCAGGTTTGAACCGCGACGGGCCCGGGTTGGGTCATTTTTTTTATTTAGTCTTTTCGAATTTATTCCTACCCCCCTCCCCACCCCCAAACCCCGCCAAAACACCCAACCCAACCCACCTAGCAGCAGTCCAATGTTAAAAAAATTAAAAAAAAAATTGGCCCAGACAAGTCCACTAAAATCAGGGCCCATAGCCCGTCCATAAACAGCCGGTGCAAGGGGCCCAGTCCCGGTACCACCCAATCGAGCCGGCTTGGGCCTGCACAGTACCAGGTCGGGTCAGGTCGACCTGTCCCAGTCCATCCCTCATACACCCTCATTCATAATAGGTCGATTCATAATAGGTCGAGACTTACTCCACATTTATTACTCTCTAATTTGCTCAATTACATTTATTCTTTTAATTTAATGCAAATAATGTTCACTTTTCAAATATCACGTACTCCGTAATAGTTACTCCGTATAAAATAAATTGCATACACTTCTAACCATCACTAATTGACGACCGCCGCCAGCCTATAGTCCCAACCGCCATTAGTGGGCAGAGCCGAGCAGTGATTGATTTATTTTACATTTTGTATTATAATTTTTTATAAAACATATGCACCAGACGCACGACAGGTGCACAACACCAGCATGAAGGGCGCACAACAGATGCACAATACCTGCACGACGGGTGCACCGCGTGCCCGGTGCACAACAAATGCACGACCAGTGGCGGATTTTGATTTTTCATTTTGGGTGTTCAGTATTTTTTATATTTAAAACTTTAAAGAACACTAAATAATTACATTAAATTTATAGGTGTATACTTGCATATTTTTCAAAAATTTGAGTGTTCATGTGAACACTTTGGATCAATGGCGACTAGGGGTGGACTCGGGCCGGGCCAACCGGCCCGGAACCGGACCGGCCCGCTACTGTGCGGGCCCGGACCGGCCCGGTCAACCGGTTGGTGCACCGGTTCAGGCCACCCGGCCCGGTGGGATGGCGGTTCGGGCTCGGGCCCTGATTTTGGTGAACCGGCCCGGCCGGTTCGGGCCCGGTCCGGGCCGGATTTTAATTTTTTTTTTTTTTTGAAATTTTTTTAAGTTTTGGGTTGGATTAGGTATTTTGGGCCATTTGAGGTGGTTTGGGGTGGTTTGGGGTTGAGGGGGAGGGGTAGGGGGTTAAAAAGGAGAACCAAAAAAAAAAAAAATAGACCGTTTGGCCCGGAACCGGAACCGGAACCGCCCACCGGCGGTTCGGGCCCGGGCCCTAGTTTTCTGGCCCGAGGCCCGGCCGGGCCCAGGCCCGAACCGGCCCGAGTCCACCCCTAATGGCGACTCTGCCCCTGTGCATAACACCCGCACGACGGGTGCATCGCATGCCCGGCGCACAGCAAATGCACAACAGCCGCACGACGGTTGCACGGCAGATGCACCACTCCGCACAAAAAGTGCACAGCACCACCACGCACAACACATACCTAACAAGTGCACGGGGAACATCACTGATTTTTTTTAGTACATCACTATTGGGAATCGGGCTCAATCTAATCTTCAGAATTGTCTTTTTTTACTTTTACGTTATTAATTAATTAGTTGTCCTTAATACTGCGCCATGTGATAGAAATGCAACATGGCATCTTGTAGATGGGCACTCCCATTTCAAGAATGCTTAAAAGATAAAAATTGCTGAATTTGGAGAGACTACCCTAATGAAAATTTTCACATGAAAAAGATCACAAAAAAATGATTGGCGATACAAGTTGTTCAGATATCAACATTAAATGTGTAATTACAAATGCAGAAGAAGATTTCCCTTATAAGCGCTGTATTTGTACCAATCATAGTCTACATGATATGTATCTACTCTAAAGGATGAGCTAGCATGGGCAGTATATTGTACAAGACTTGAGCCATTCACACTAACCTATTCACAAGTATCAAGATTCCTTTACATTTTTACCTGGCGAGCAAGTTCAATCTCATCGAATATATACTACGTATTACTTTGTATCGAAAGGAGCATATGCCTGCATACCTATAGGTGCCAGCCATTCCAAATATCTACTTGTAAGGAGCAAATAATATTGATGAATTTTGACCGCCAAATCCATAGGAATTAGATAATGCTACTTTTATGTCAAGCCTTTCCTTTTTGGGGCCAACAAGGAACTTCAAGTCCTGTTTTAATGCATAGACCTTTAGAATACATAATCTAATGAAAGTATTAATTCCAAAAATATTTTAGTATATGTAATAAAGCTGGACGGTTGAAACTCCAAATTTATATACCCTCCTCTAATGGGGACCTCAAATGATATAAAAAACAAGTGGTGTATTGATTTCTGATTTTAATATAAGTATACAATATAGGATATCTCACCCAGGAAAAGAGATTTTCAATTCTCATAAACAATGCTGCTAATTATAGAAGAAGTTATTTAAAATGCCAAAGGCAGAAGCAATTTGGAGATGACTCAAACCTAGTACATTAACTAATTTCCTATAAACAAAGTTACTGATACTGATCTGGCAAGAGCTTCCTATTGGTAACGTAATAAGTAGACATTATATTTTATCACTCGACGGCTCAACCAAGAGATTTCGAACACAAAAATATTTATTTACAGACGAAAGAAGATCCATACCACACCATTACTTGGGTTTTCAAGATTGACATTCGGATGTATCCACCCAGTTCGAATTGCCTGCAGGACCATTTTGAAACCGTCAATATGCAAGTTCAGCAAGATATTATATTGACCTTATTTAGAATGTAAACTAAGGTTGTGAAATTTACTTTATGGCAAAAAAACCTTATTTAGAACCGGTTGTGTTAAGATCCATTCTAAATAAATTCTGCGCATGATTTCTAACCTCATTTCACAACCGGTTCTAAATAAGGTTAAGATCCATTTCCTTTATGGCAAAAAAATCATGCTAGCTACAGGTCTTTAAATTTTAAACCTAAAATTAGATTATATTGCCTACACAGTTGATGTCCAGTTGGTCATCAGGGAAGAGAAAGGTAGCACATGTGACAAATGTAAACAAACGAAATAAGGAAATTTACATGTGACATCAGCAAGCTTGAAAAACATGGCAAGGATAAATCGGTACTGTAGTTAGAAAATGCACCTGAACAGTTGCTACAGCCTCCACGCCGCCAGATGCTCCTAGAAGGTGGCCAATCATAGATTTTGTTGAGTTCACTCGTAACTGCAAATATGGATTCACATTTTCTTAAAGGTATATTTTGATACAAGAAAATGCTGGTGGATGCTAAGAAAAGTTAACTTTCTTGGGTTTGGTTTTACCACGGGAAATGCAAATGACTATTGTTTTTAAAAAATCAAATGTTTAGATCTCTAAGCCTTTTTAAAAAAAATATACGGAGTATAACTAGATGAGTTTGAACAAATGTCAAAATTAAATTTTTCAGTTTGAATTAATGTTTTGTTTTCCCTCATATTTTCTTCCCTTCCAAATTACCCTTACATTATCCTATCTATTTTCCCTGCCTAGCATTTTTCCAGATTCGAAATGGACCTAATAGATGTACATAAGTAGTTAAAGCCAATAAATACCAATGAATTGGGAAAAGCTGCAACAAAAGTCACCTCTGGATTATGGCCTAGACAATGAATTAGAGCTTGGTACTCCTTCAAATCTCCAACTGGTGTGGATGTTGCATGTGCATTGACATAGTTAACATCTTGGCTGGATACCCCAGACTGAGATAGGGCCTTCTTTATACAAAGGATAACACCAGTTCCTGCTTGTAAAGAAATGGCATGTTTGAGTATGTGCCAAATGTGCATCTTAGTTGGCTAAGTGCCATTCTATAGCAACTTCTTTGGCTTGTTAGTTATTAGCCATTTTTTATTTTATCAACCACTAATTTCTTCAATGGTGTCGGCTGAATTGGTTAAAATGAAAAAAGAATAGGACCGGGGGTACTTGTTTGGCTACAGTGGTTAAAGACGATCCATTTGTATATACACTTCATTATTTCATCAACAAGTTATATTGTTAAATTTGTATATCATGATTCAAGAAACTTCAACCAAATTCACCCTTATCAAACAGGCTCTTAAGCAACATGTTATATGTTAAACTAAAGAAACTTAGTTAATAGGAGTACATAAACAAAAACCCATCCATGGGTTTCTTGCCATGATGGTTATCCAGCTGTAGCCATTACCATCAGGATGAGGCTCAGTTACATGATATGCATCACAGGTGAAGCTTCCACCCAAGAATTCAGCATATATAGTTGCACCTCTCCTCTGCGCATTCAAACAATGAAATCAGAAGCACTCTTCAATAAACTAACCAGTGAAAGGTTCTATTGATTTTTTATCTATAAAAATAAGAAAAGGAATGAATCTTTGACTTTACCTTGGCATGCTCAAGTTCTTCCAACAGCAAAACACCAGCTCCTTCCCCCAAGACAAAGCCATCCCGACCCTATATAAATTGTTATTGTGATCCAACTCTAAAATTTAATGCAAACACACGAAAGTTGCACACACTCTTACAACAATGCTCTCCAGTTCAAGAGGGAAGCGCATGTCAAGCATGTTGAGTTTGATCTCAATATATGATAACCATTGAAAAACTAGTATCAAATGCATAACATCAAGGGTCCGTTTGAATCCTTTGACATACTAGTGATAGAAATTAGCAAGGAAAATGCAAAAGAAATTTTGAAGGAATGAAGTGTGGGGAAATAAAAGATAGCATCATCAAATTTACTAAAGAATTAAGATATGTGTTCATACTTGTTTGAATTATCTATGTCTACCATATCAGGGCTAAGAAATATATATATATATATATATATATATATATATATATATATATATATATATAAGAAAGAAAATTATCATATTTCATTATCCTTTGCATTTTCCATTGTAAAACAAAACATAAGACCAAGAAACATTCCTGAATGCTTCCTTTCATTTCCATAGGATTTTCCAAGATCCAAACATACCCCAAAAGTTTATACTTTATAGCAAAGGAATCCAGAGCAGAAAAACTTTACAAGTAAACTGTAGTAGCTCTGAGTCCCAAAAATGTTCACGGATTATAAAACCTAAGCACCCCAAGGATAAAAAAGGAAGAGAGGAACCTTACACTGTCCCAAGGTCGTGAAGCTTTAGTAGGATCTTTGTTTCTCTGAGAAAGTGCCCTGCAGGCTACAAATCCACCCAATCCTGCAAGAAGAAATGGAACAGCTAAACATACAATGGAAGCTTAACAAACTTGATAACTGTAAGACCATGGTATATTACCAATTGGTATAATAGGTGCATCAGATCCACCACATAGCATCACATTCTGCAAAGCCCAAAGAAATAAACATTTCTACGTTATAAGATCTAGGAACAAATGGTTTAGTTTTCTACAATGTTATATCTTCAACCGCACTATTATAATCGTAAAATCACAAATCTCATTTATGTGTAATACAGAGAAACTTACAGCTTCACCACTAATGATGTGGTTAGCAGCACTCAATATACAGAAGTTGCTTGTAGCACATGCAGTTGAGATTGAATAATTTGGCCCCATCCAACCCTGCAGTTTTATTTGTAAACAAGCAATTCAAAACATCCAAACAGGCTCTTTCTTTCGCACTAAAGTAGACTAAGAAAAATATAGTTTAACTAACCAAGTCCATTGCTAGAATTGCAGAACCCATGTTAGTAGTAGCGAAAGGTACACAAAAAGGATTCATCTTCTTGTATGAAATCCTCAAAGCCTCCATTCCATCACTAAAAATCTGTTCACATTTTTATAATAACAAAATAATAATAATAATAATAATAATAATAATAATAATAATAATAATAATAATAATAATAATAATAATAATAATAATAATAATAATAATAATAATAATAATAATAATAATAATAATAATAATAATAATAATAATAATAATAATAATAATAATAATAATAATAATAATAATAATAATAATAATAATAATAATAATAATAATAATAATAATAATAATAATAATAATAATAATAATAATAATAATAATAATAATAATAATAATAATAATAATAATAATAATAATAATAATAATAATAATAATAATAATAATAATAATAATAATAATAATAATAATAATAATAATAATAATAATAATAATAATAATAATAATAATAATAATAATAATAATAATAATAATAATAATAATAATAATAATAATAATAATAATAATAATAATAATAATAATAATAATAATAATAATAATAATAATAATAATATTAACAACACAACAGTAATAATGAAAACAATACCCTCTCTGATTCACTTTGTTCTTTATACTTTCCTTTTTAAGTCTGTTCCCAAAGTTTTACTCATTTCCTTTTATGGATTGTGTGATTGGAATTAATTCAGTTGAATATGAACTACTACTTACATTAATATGAGTTTGAGCTTACAACTTCATGTTTCATAACTCACAAGTACTTGAAAGTTTTATTTTTTTTAAAGTACTTGAAAGTATTATATTTCTCATATAAATAAATAAAAATGATGGACCTAAATCTGGTAGGAACAGGAGGCCTAAATCTTAAACCTAATAGTCATGTGAAACTATAATACCAGTAAAACTATGAAAACAACTCTGTATATAATTAATTATACACTTTCAAAGATCTATTTCTAAATAAAAATCAGCCATGCGCTTTACTTGCATAAAAAGTACTGTAGTAAGCAATGGAGAAGAAGAAAAATGGAACCAAGGGAGTACAACTTCCTAGATGAGTGGATCTTTGGTGCTTGCAGTTTGACCATGTTAAAGGGCATATCTTTAAAAAATACCTAAGTACCTCCACATCAAAAGGCGGTGTGATTATACCAAAAGAATACGGAGTATGAATTAAGAGATTACCTGCATCCCACCCATTGCTGAGCCAATCAAAACTCCACATTTTGTTTTATCAACAGCTTCCATCAAATCATTATTGATTCCAGCATCAGCCAATGCCTTCTTTCCAGCAGTCAACATGTAAAGCATGAACTTGTCCAATCTCTTTGCAAGTTTTGGCGCAACCCAACCATCAGTCGTAAAAGACTTTATCTCTCCAGCAATTCTCTGAATTTAATACAAATCATCAAAATCATGGTCCGGAGCACAAGCATGTGTATCGAAAGGGGGGGGGATTTGAACAGAGCACGTACTGTTGGAAACTGGGAACAATCAAAAGCATCTATATAGGTAATGCCACTGACACCTTCAAGCAGGTTTTCGTAATACACATCGACTTCATGACCAAGTGGTGTTGCAACACCCATCCCAGTCACAACCACTCGCCTCTCCTTAGTGGGAGGTTTCTTCTTAGTTGCAACTTCCACCACAGGTTGCAAGAGAGTTGCCATCACCTCCCCTGAACAATGTGTGAACTCAAAGTGTGAGCATTATATTTGCAAGTAAATAAAGAGATAAGGAGTATCATTAACAGGTGCCAATATGCCTCAGTTGCAGTATTTATTTAAAACGGAACCATTCAAAGAGATGCTAAGATAGGTATTCAAATGTAAAAAAATTGCATTTATCATGTGGCCAAACACAGGTCACTACACAATTTGGAAGAATAGCCGTGCAAGCCGGATGCCCAAAAAGTAAAGAAAAGAAGCTGCATTGAATGCTCACATATAACTCCAAATGGACCATATGAATTGGATTTCTGTAAATCTAAAGCTGAAAATATTAGGAAAGAAATGCAGAATGATTGACTGGCAAAGTGGATAGTATTAATGGTCATTTTTTGGATAGAAAAAAAAACACAGAAGGAAAGAAATATAGAACGATTGACTAGTATAACATCATGGACGTACTTATGAACTAAAATATAGAACCACTGCAGAAGGAAAGAAATCACATTTATCATTTGGCCCAAAACCAGTCACTGGACAACTTGAAAGACTAGCTATGCGAGTCGGTTACCCAAAAAAGTAAAGAGAAGCAGCTGCATTGAATGTTCATATGTGATACTAAATGGTTTGGACTCCTATATACCAGCACATTCATGTCATGTTACTGAAAGTAGATGAAAATCTAAAGACACGCAACTCTAAGTTTTAAAACTTATAAAGTGTAGTGTTTTAAGTGGATATTACTACGGTTACCTTTTGGATAGACAAAGCATGTTACCATTGGAAAAAGACGCTCAACAGAATGGATAAACTAAGTCCAAATATGACTACTCTTTCTCCAGAAATACAGACTATAAAGTATAAACACTCAACCGAAAGGATTTCTGAATGTGCTGTATCAGTTAACAAGTAGTAAATCAATCTTTTCAAAACGCACACACCAAAAAACGAAAACAAAGTAATTGAGAAGGGCACAGTTTAACTCTGAACAAACCAGCCCAAGTAACTCAACATCACATAGCATCATTATCACATAACAAAGCAACAAAGATGGAGATTACCAGAGTGAGTAACAATGTTGGATGAGCTGCGTCTGGAGATATGAGCAGCATTTCCCCATGAGAACGACGAAGAGACGCCACTTTCTACAAATCTCGAACGAGAAAAGTAAATGCTAAAAGGAGTACTACCGGTGTTCACCAACGACGAACCCAATCGAGACTCAGCCTGCCTTGAAATCGAAGAACAGTGAAGTAGCACCTTCTCACTCTCATCCCCACGCCCAGCTCTCATGCATGCCGGCATCAACCGCAACGAGATCGCCGACGAGCCCATTCTCCCTCCGAATTTCCAATCTATAAACTCCGTATATCTTCTAACGCAGCTTTCCCCTACACACAGCAAGTCAGCAACAAAAACAGTATTGTATATATACCAGAAATTCGTCAACAGATGAATAGAGACTACTTTACTCGGCAGGGAATGAGTGAATCCGAGAAGGAGCTGTGATGGAATCAACAAAGTGGCGTCGTTCTGATGGATCCCTGGCTCAAGCTTGTCAACTTATTCATTCAGAGAAAACTGATTGCTGGTGTATAAAGCTGTAAAATCTCGCACATATATATAGGTGAATGAACTCAGAAGAACGCAGTAGTCCTCCATAGACCATAACGGAAAGGAGTGCTCTTTCCCTCGACACGTGGTGATGCCGTCAGCGAGGAAGAGAGGAGAAATGGTGTGCTCCATTTGGCAGAGTCGTGACTATGGTGCGTTGGAAGAGGTGACGACGGTGAGTTTTTTTTTTTTTTTTGATAGCACGACGGTGAGTTTGTTAAAGCTAGATTTAGTCCTATTTTTAGACATAAAAATAGGTAATACTACGTACAGAGGAAGTGTATTAGTCGTTTAATGACCCACTATTCCAAATTATTTTCTTATCTATGCAAAATATTATCTTTGTGAAAGATGAGATTTATGGTATAATGATTTGCAAAGATAAGAAAATAACTTGGAATAGCAGGTCATCAACTGGTCAGGGACCAGTGAATGAAGATGAGGTGCAAAGGTTGGATTATTCATGAATAACCAAAAGGTTGGATTATTGTAAGAAGACCGCTAAAAGGTTGGATTATTAGTTTCCATTTTCCCAAAGATTTATGAGCCTTTTGGATTTATGAGCCCTTTTGCTACCACGAAAATCGGCTGATTTGATTGATTCTGCTGAAATTTATGAAGTTCTGGCTAAAGTGGTTGCATTGGCTGATTCTGCTGATTTAAGGGGAAAAAAAAATTAAAATATATTTTATTAATAAAATAAAGAAAAAATTATATGTAAAAATAACTAAAATAATGATCTATAGTAACTTCAGCCAAAACAGCCAGAAAAGTAACCTCAACCTTACTTATTCTGCTTATTACACAATTCAGCACGCAAAAGCAAAAGTTACGTGTTTGGTGAAAAAGTTGGCTGATAAGCATGATAAGCCGAAAAACAGTGGTTCCAAACGGCCTCTATATTGTCTAACCATACAAATGCAATTAAAATAGAGCCAAGGGTTAAGAAAACTCTTGAATCATAGGTGATTTTATAAATCTAACTTTGATGCGAAATTGTATTAAAAGCCCATAAACGGGATCAGTTCTTAATTAACGGGATTAGCCCATAAACGGGATCAACCTTTAAACAAGATTAGCCCTCAACGAGATCAGCCCATAATCGGGATCAATATTAAATTATTAATTAGTCGATGGGCCTAATTAGGAATCAGACTCACGAGAGGAACCCACAACCAGGCCGGGCTGGACAGCAGACCTCGAGCCTGGGCGGAATTCTAGTGAGGTCGGAACTCTTCCTAGGGCTTATGTGTCAGGCTATCGTTCGTGCATAGATGTCTGGCAGCATGTAGGAATAACGAAAAAAACGTGGACCCGAGGGAAACAATGATTGCACAACGTTCGAGGCGTTACAGGAGTCTATTTCAATTAATGGCATTTAATGTATCACTTTCCTCCTGGAACACTAGTATCTAAGGTCTATAAATACTTTCTGTACACATCCTACAAAGGGACCGAATTTTGGATTAATAATACTGTCTTACGCTGGCCAATGTAGCTCCATCGAGTCCAAACAATAGTATACCAAGATGTCAGAATGGATTGGGAGCACCTCAGGGTGGAAGTCTGCCCACCTTATTCACTTGACCCCAAATACTTGCTACTAAAGCAGTGTTTGCAAGAGTTTTAAAAAAGCACTTTTGAGCTTTTTGCTTAAAAAAAGCTGAATGCAGTGTTTTCAAATCTCAGCTTCTGCTTCAATTAAGCACTTTAAAGTTTAAATCTAAAAGCTAAAAGCTGGTGTAGTGGTGCTTCTAACTGCTTCTCGGTTTTTTTTTGTAATTAGTTCAAACTTTAGGAATATTTATATTGATTCATTTATGTTGTTTGAGCCAAAAATACCCCCATCTATCTGAATACCTCTCTGCGTTCTGACTTCTCTGCTCCCTACGTTGTTCTTCCTTAGCGCGCGCACACATATATAACACTGTATTTATATATGTAGGGTGTGTTTCAGAAAATAAAGAAAATTAATTAATTAAAATTAATTTAAATGACAAGGAGAAAACAAGAAAAGACATGAGACAGAAACTAGTCAAAGCTCGTGCTACGCACGTTTGCCTTAAAATGTATTCGTTGCCTCCCGGGGTGCTAGGAGCGTTGCAAGAATCGTTTCCCACGATACGATGACTAACGAGCAACCGTTTAATCACTTAAACAATTGTTCTGGCGAACCAACGAGTGAACTTCGAGAATCAATTTCTCATTCACCCGTTATCCGTTTTGAGCGTACCGTATATCGAATTGTAGCCCTAAGCAAAGACAATCTGAAACCACTTTGACCCGACCCATATCGGAAGTGTGTGAAAAATTTATTTGAGGTATGAAGTGTAAAAAACATTATAGTTTTTATAATTTTTCGGATGGTGTGTGAAAAATTGTGATACTCCGTATATATAGGATTGTGGCAGATATGTTTTCTAAGGAATAAAAAATACATATTTTCTCGTCCTAAAAAAATTCATCTTTAAAACATTCATCAATTGTATATTGTTTTTGAAAATTATTTATAATATAAAAATAATATGAAAATGTTTTTTCTCAAAAGTAATGTTATAAAATTACAAAATTTCTTCTTTTAAAAGTATTATACTAATGATAATCATGATCCGAATTATATAATGACGAACATATTTTGGGACACAGACAATAGCATACAGGGTATTATACGGGTAGTGAGGTAGATAGTGTGATGTGTATTCCACATTCATTACACAGGGGCATGTGGCCTGACCTGTTTAAGGTCTGGCCTGACCTGTTTAATAATCAAAGCAGGCATAGGCTTTTCAAAAAGCCGTTTACCCAAATAGGTCAGACTTAGCTCAACTCTAAAGTCTTTTTAGCTTAACAGGACGGCCTATTTATATGTTTGTATACATATTTAGTTATATTTATATTTATTTGTATTATTTATATTTAGTATAATTAACTATAGCAAGTTAAGCATAATAGTATTTTTATGAAGTGTGTATTATAAATTAGAATACTATTTCAAATATATAAAGTGCGTTAATAGGTTATTAGGGTAATTGAAATTCAAAGGCTTTCAAGATTTGCAGTACATGAAAATTTATAAGCTACATAATTAACTTGGAAAAATTGACAAGAATAATCCCACCTTTCACTAGTCTTCTCATAATAATCCCACCTTTAAATAATCCCAAAATAATCCAACATTTGCACCTCATCTTCTTTCATTGGACCCTGACCAAGTTTTTTACCTTTTTTTAAAAAATCTTATATAAATAATCTCACATTTATAAGGATATAATTAAAAAGTGAAGGGTGAGATTATTTGTATAATTTTCAAAGAAAGACTAAAAAACATGGTCAGGGTCCAATGAAAGAAGATGAGATGCAAAAGTGGGATTATTTTGGGATTATTTAAAGGTGAGATTATTATGAGAAGACCAGTGAAAGGTGGGATTATTCTTGTCAATTTTTCCAATTAACTTATTATTAGTCATTTAAAGCAACCTTAACGTAATATTAAACTTTTTTGTGAATATTTGGGCGGAATAAATTTTATATCGGGTTATAAGAATTTTTCACTTTTTATTATATATTTTTTTGAACTTTTGATTTTTTCTTAACAGACCCACTAAACAAGCTTTAGGCCAGGTCAGGCTAAGCTTTTTAATAGGCCAGACTCAAGCCGAACAAACAAGCCTTTAACAGGTAACACGTCAGGCTCAGGCCTATAAATTCTAAAACAGGCCCGACCTGGTCTGTCTCCACCCTTAACTACACTAGTGAGAGACATTCACTTTTGGTACCACTAATGATAGAAAGTGTGAGAAAAATTTTATAAAACTATAAAACATACCGAGTAATTAAAGTCTACATGGATCAATATTCTTTTCCCTTTAAAATAAAATTTATCTACTCCTAGTTAAAATTCTTTTAGAAACATTTATGGTTAAAATAAAGTTTGTTTAGAAAATGGGACTGACGACTAGAGTAGTAATGAAATCATAATAATTTATATTCAATTTTTAAACTTTTGAGTTATCATAACACTACATTAGTCATATTTGTGTGTAAATAGATTTTATTTTAATAATATTATGGAAAAAACCAATTATTTTATACTTTATATATGTTGTGTTTCTATTTGGAGTAATTTACTACGGAGCATTTGTGTAATGGTTATGCTCAATATATTTAAAAGGGAAAACTGTCAAATAGGTCCTCGAACTTTCAAAAAAGGTCAAAGAAGTCCTTATATAGGAGACTCTGTCCGGCCGTCGCGATTCGGGGTTGTTCCCGATGGAATGTTTTGATGATTTTTTTTGAACATCTTATTCATCACGTCTAGTTTACTCATACCAAATTTCAGCTAAAACTTTAATCGGGAACGCATTCAAATTAATCCTTGGAAATACCTGCGCATTTAACTACACGGTTATCTTCAAGAATTAATTTGAATGGGTTTCCGATTAAAGCTTTAGCTGAAATTTGGTATGAGTAAACTAGACTTGATGAATAACATGCTCAAAAATTTTCATCAAAAAATTCCACCGGGAACCGCCCCAAGCCGCGACGGCCGGACAAAGCCTCTTATATAAGGACTCATTTGACCTTTTTATGAAAGTTCGAGAACCTATTTGACAGTTTTTCCTATTTAAAAAAGAATAATAATAGTTCATAAATAATTTGACCTAGTGACCTTGATGGTTCATACTAGGGGTGGACTAAGAAGCTGTTCTCTTCGCCTGATCTGAATGTTTATGATCTGATATGAATTTTTCTGATCTGATCTGAATCTTTCTGATCTGGTCTGAATCTTTCTGATCTAGTCTGATCTGATCTGAATCCTTCTTATCTGATCTGATCTGAATCCTTCTGATCTGATCTGAATCCTTCTGATCTGATCTGATTTGAATATTTCTATAGTTATAATTATAATTATTATAATAATTAATATAATTTAAATATAATTATAAATATAGCCATAGTTATGAAAAATTATAATTATAATTATAATTTAAATCAAACTTATAATAAGTATACCTATAATTATATTATTAGTACTAATTATTTCTATAACTATAATTGTAATTGTAATTGTAATTTTATTATAATATTTATTTATAATTACTATAATTATAATTATAATTGTAATTACTAAGTATAATAATAATTATTATAATTATAATAATAATTGTTATTATAATTATAATAATAATTGTTATTATAATTATAATAATTATTATAATACTAATAATAATTATTATTATAATTATAATTATAATAATAATACTCCTACTACTAATGATGATGATGATGATGATGATGATGATGACGATGATGATAATAATAATAATAATAATAATAATAATAATAATAATAATAATAATAATAATAATAATAATAATAATAATAATAATAATAAATAATAATAATAATAATGTTATTATTATTGTTATTACTATTGATATAATAAATATAATAATAATAGTAATAATAATAATGAAAATAATAATAATAATAATAATAATAATAATAATAATAATAATAATAATAATAATAATAATAATAATAATAATAATAATAATAATAATAATAATAATAATAATAATAATAATAATAATAATAATAATAATAATAATAATAATAATAATAATAATAATAATAATAATAATAATAATAATAATAATAATAATAATAATAATAATAATAATAATAATAATAATAATAATAATAATAATAATAATAATAATAATAATAATAATAATAATAATAATAATAATAATAATAATAATAATAATAATAATAATAATTGTTATTATTATTATAAACGTGATAAATCATGTGTGAACTTTTCTGATCTGATCTGGATGTTTCTGATCTGATCTTAATCTTTCTGATCTGATCTGAATGTTTCTGGTCTGGCCTGATCTGATCTGAATTTTTCTGATATGATATGAATGCTTCTGATCTCATCTGAATTTCTCCGATCTGATCTGATCTGAATAAATTAAGAATAAGTAATAAGTAATAAGAATAAGACGAACAGAACAACTTGTAAATGGTTTGATTTAATCGAACGGAATCCAATCAAATCGAAAGATGGTGATTTGGTTTGATTTCAAAATCCAATCAAATCGAAAACTCATTTGACGGCCTTCTCGGTTGAATTTTTAGCTGAAATTTTCTGTGGATAAACAAGATTTGATGAAGAACATGCCATAAAAAATGCATTCAAAATTTTGACCGAGAAGGGCCCCAAACTTCTGGACGGCGGTTCCGGTCAGGAAGGCTTGACCGGAAGATTACCCCCTCTCTATATTCTAAAATATAGAACTTGATCAAATAAAATACTCGTAATAAACATGAGAAAACGAATCAAATCGAACTAAATTAAACATAATACTTTTTACATTGATAAATCTAAGTTCAAACCGAACCGAACGAAACTAACCCCGAACCGAAACCAAACCGAGAAAAAGTGGTTTTATTTTGGGAAAACTATCAAATAAGCCCCCGTACTATGCCGAAAAAGTCGATTAGGTCCTCTTACTTTACAAACACTCAATTAAGTCCTCGAACTATTAAAAAACATTCAATTAAGCCCTTTTGGTCGGTAAGTAACCGGTTTCCCGGTTAAACGGCGACGACGTGATCGAACCCCAGCAACGGCGGCTTCCGGGAAACGGGTTACATTTAACCGGGAAACCAGTTACTTACTGACTGAAAGGGCTTAATTGAACGTTTTTTAATAGTTCGATGACTTAATTGAGTGTTTGTAAAGTACGATGGTCTAATCGACTTTTTCGGTATAGTACGGGACTTATTTGATAGTTTCCCCATTATTTTCGTACAAATTATTTTCGTACAAATTCAAATAAACAGAAATCCAACTGAAACGAAAACAGGCCACCACTGGTGAAGACGGAAGTCCGAAGTCGGTCTTGTTCTTCCTAAATCCGCAAATCGCAGAACGGAATAACCAGAGCGAGAGCCGCGCAGGGCCAGAGACCCGCCGCCACTCGTCGTCGCCCATCGCCCTCTGTCCGCGGTCCGTCTGTCCGCCGCCTTCGTGAGCCCGGCTGACCGCGCCGTGCCGTGCTGCCCGCCGCTCCACTGCCCTGCTCCGCTGCCAGTCTCCCAGTCCGGCAGTTGGCAATCTCATTATCTCAATCTCGCTGACTCTTTCTCTTGACAGTCAGCCTCAGCCACAAGCCTGGCACGTAAGTCTTGTTACTTTGTAAATTTTACTATCTATTACTCCGTATTTGAACTTAAGTATTTTATTAATTCATGGGATCATTTATTCTTTTTTGAAGATGTTAAACGTGGTTTTTTTTTATAAATAAATTATTTGTGAGTTGAAATTTAGGAATTTGTAAATAATATGAATTGTGTTTTTGAAAATAATATGTTGATGATTTCATAAATTTTTGTCAATTGAAGTAGTATGACCACACAATCTACTTCTGAAAAGGCAAAACAAGTAAACAACACTGCATTCCTGCTTTAGCCCAGTACAAGTACAAAAACGGACAAAAGTTAAATGACTTGATTGATACTTCTAATGTTTCATCCCTTCAAGAGGAATTTGTTTTTGATGCCATGGAAATTGAGCAGGATCCAACAAACGGATACAGGCAGGTCTTGTTCCTACCTGCATATTGTTTCCCATGTCGCCTTCAGAGAATCCGTTGCAGCTTATCTCCCAATCATTCGAGAAGGTATCAAATAGCATCCAAACCCATCTCTCCCACTTCCTACGATTTCCAAACACTACAAACCCACCCTTTGGTATTTCCACTACTTCAATATCAAACGACTTGGCTCCAAGACGTGCCACCTCAGATCTTCTCCAACCCACTCCAATTCCAAAGAACGTAAGTTCAAGCACACGAGTGATTGCATTGGTTCTTTTTTATCTCGTCTGAGCATCATTTGCATTTGTTGAAAGTTTTTCAGGAAATAGGTAAATAGTAATATGTGCCCATTAGATATTCGATACAAAGTCTAGTAAACATTCATGCAAATCAGCTTTGTGTTGCTCTTTCGTTTCATGCTCGTTGAGAAAAAATATCAAATTTGTACATGATATAGATTTAGAGTTAATGCAGTTTGTTAATGGGTTACTATCCTGTTTTCCAATTCCATTCAGAAAACGTTTGATGGCCCAGTGATTAAAGAAGAACTTGGAAGGGCCACTTGGACCTTTCTTCACACTCTTGCATCTCAGGTAATTTCATGCTTATTTCTTCATATTTCCTGTTTTTTCTTGTTTTTTAATCAGCCTATATCCTTTATACTTTTATGTGCATGTTGCTTTTAAGTTGCACAGAAGCTGGTATTTCTCTTTGATACGACATGTAATTGAGGCTCATACGACATTTTTTGCTGATGCTTTTGATTGTTTTTCATTTATTCTATATCTGGATGTGGATTTCAGTACCCAGAGAAGCCAACCAGGCAACAGAAGAAAGATGTGAAAGAATTGGTACACAATCCCCGCTCCTCTAATTCCTTTTATCTTTCAATCTGTATTAAGAGGCTAAAAATCGAATTTTAGCTCTTCTTACTTGAGAACGAGCACTAAATAGTTTATATGAGGCTATGACCATGTCAAAGTCCCTCTGTTAATGCCAATTACAATTCTAGATTTCATTCGTGCTCTTTCAAGCACTTGGATAAATATTTTTATTGCGTTGGATTACACTCTGGAAGAAAGTAACAAAACAGGCATTAAAATTGTTTCTTGTTTCAGTAAATTTTCATTAATCCCTCTTTCACCTTATTTGCAGATGGCAATTTTATCTCGCATGTACCCTTGTCAGGAGTGTGCCGATCATTTTAAAGAAGTTTTGCGGTATATACTCATTTACTCCTCTCTCGTGTTGCCATAAGCTCGATGTTCATATCCAAAGTTGGAAAGATAGTTTATAATTTAAATCAATTAATTATTCATCTTTTATGCAGATCAAATCCCGTCCAAGCTGGATCCCAAGCTCAGTTTTCACAATGGCTTTGCCGCGTTCACAATATTGTTAATAGAAGGTATTTTGTGCTGTAAATCTTTGGGCATCTTCTTTGAACCATCCCTAATAATGGATATGCGCTATTCTTTGACCAGTTTAACTTGCCTTTCTTGATAGACGGAACAAAAGTTGATCTAATATACCGTTATTCTTACTAAGTAAAATTTTGTGATTATTTGGTTACTATTTTTGCCAAAATGGTTGATAGACTGAAAGTAGAAATTGTAGCTAAATGTGTTGACTAGACTGAACTATCTGAGAAATAAGTACATTTGAAACATATATTTGTGAATAATTTAAAGAAAACAATGTCTAAAACATGACAGTAAGTCTTAATTACTTTCATGGCATATAGCGTGTGATATCTTGCACATTAGCGCAATATGACCATTTGAGCTAATCTCATGAATTTGGTCTCATAACAGTTTGGCTAAACCTATTTTCCCCTGTGAACGGGTTGATGCACGATGGGGTAAGCTTGATTGTGAGCAGCGAACCTGTGATTTGCAAGGAAGCGACAAGTTTTTCTAACGAAGCATATGCTATGAATTAGTTGCACCGGGAAATCTTTAGCCGTGCTTGAATCTGCTATGTTCTTTGAGAGCCAAAGATGTAAAGTCTATACAGGCAGGCAATGTGAGAACATACATGGTAAACCATTAAGGGTGGTCGAATCGGTTGAATTAGTGATTGAGAGATCACGAATTCATTCCCCTACCAATACCTTCTCGGTCGAGCCATCATATAGGGCCTGACTAGTACGGAGTATGTTTTAATTTGTTAGCACTTCTATGGGCCCTCATCGCCAAAAGAAAAGCATACAGGTAGAGTTGTGTCCGGTTACCAAATCAATAGAACTTGTGATGAACCTTATGTAATGTACGAGTATTCCCTAATTTAAAAGGCCCAATTGTCAAAGTTAAAAAGATATTATGTTACAAAATATCAAAGATATTGTAATTTTGATAAATAAGAAATCTTTTCATGAACCAACAAATACTGAAATACATAAAGAAACACTAAGACTAAGTTACGTAGTTATAGTAATTATGTTGTCCAGGTTGATAACATAATGACATTTTAAGAATTTAAGGGATACTGATACTAAATTGTTGTCGTCAAGTTATTATGTTATGTATACTCTCTGAATAGGATTAATAGGGTGTTTGGAACTGATTCTGCTTCAGGTTTCTTTTTTTAAAGCAGAATCAGAATCAATTTTCAGAAGCAAGTCTCCCTCAGCTTCTAAAAAACGGATTCTAGGAGTAAATTAGACTATTAGAGCACCTAATCCTCTTCTGCACTTTCACCAAACATTCGAACTTTTGCTTATGCTCTTTGAAGGAGAAGAACATTTTAAGAATCAGATCTAAACACCCTCTAAATCAGGTGTGGACTCGGGCCCCGACCGGCAGTTCAGGAATGGGGGGCCCGGAACCGGCCCGGGTACTCCCCGGGTCCGGGTCAGGCCGGTTCGGGCCTGGCTGGGCCTCGGGCCTTAGTTTTTTTTTTTTTCCTTTTCCTAGTTAACCCCCCACCCCCAAAGCACCCCAAATGGCCCAAAATACCAAGCTCAACCCGAAAACAAAAAAAAATTGAAAAAATAAACGAACTGGAACCGGGCCCGAAACGGCCGGGCTGGTTCGTGATTTAGGGGGCCCGAGCCCGGACCGGAACCCCAGCGGGTCGGGCCTACCTGGACCGGTCACTGACCGGGCCACCGGGCCGGAACAGTGCCGGTTCGGGCCGGTTCCTGGTCGGGCCACCCGGCCTGAGTCCACCCCTACTCTAAATCAATATAATTCTCTAATTAAGACCACACTTTTCTCCACCAAAAGTGAGTCATTCATTCCTAAAAAAGTTTAGTTGTTCCTATCGGTTAAACTAAATAAATTATTATTTGTGTAATCTACACTTTACTCCTAATTTGAGTAATTAGATTTTTCACTCGTGCGTTGCACGAGAATCAATTATTAAGCAATAAATTATTTGAAAATGGGAAAACTGTCAATTTGGTCCTTGTACTATCGCGAAAAAGCCAATTAGGTCTTCGTACTTAAAAAAAATCAATCAAATTCTCTTACTTTGTAAAAACGTTCAATTGAGTCCATTTACACAATTACACATTACTTATTATGTCTGCAGGTCCCCCGCTGATGTGATGCACACATGGCGGTCCCCATGTGCGCCACGTCATCAACAAATTGTTGTCTGAACTTCCACTTGAGTGTCACGTCAGCAAAGCCGGAGTTGAGTGGGCTGTAACATGTGTGTCACGTCAGCGGGTGACATGTTGACATGACAAGTAACCTGCAAATGGACTCAATTGAACATTTTCATAAAATTTGATGATTTGAATGGTTTTTTTTCAAAGCATGAGGACCTAATTGACTTTTTCGTGATAGTACGCATACCAAATTGAAAATATAAAGAAATTCTGTGATAAAAATAAAGCAACTCATATTGTTTTTAACAAAAGTAAATGAATATGTAAACTTACAAATTACTACGTACTAAATAGATACTTACTTGTAAACAACATTAAAATCTTTTTTATTGGTTTTCCATCATCGTCATATATAAACTTCAACTAAGACGAGGACGTTACTTTTGAGACTACGGTGTAGGAGTAGTAATTCTACTGCTACTACTTTGATGTTTTACTTAAGAATAGCTCCAAATGTGATACACATGCTTAGCTTTTCCATAAATCGTTGTTTAAAATCAGGTAATTCTAATTCAATCTTCCATTTTTTCTTTATTAACTATTTATTATCATGCTTCCAACTTCGGTCTTTTTCCAGGAAATTTAAATAGCTTTTTATTTGTGTAGAACCAAACAAACACAACATCATACGAAATGTACATGTGTCTTTTATTAATCATACCTAAACAATGAGTGCTTCTAATCCTATATACTAAAGGGAGAATCCCTCTCACTAGCCATTTCCTCATCCCTGATCGAACATCACCTCCCGCACGAGTTCACCAGTTCCATATGGAGTGGATGAATTTCTTCTATTAATACCTACATTAAGAAAAGTTGTGTGGTTTGGAGGACGCTACGGTTAAGGAAAAGTTTAGCAAGCCACATCCATAAAATAGTCAATTCAAAGTGTCTATAAAGTTTTATATTTATTATCCAATTTGTTGTTTGAAAATAGAATATTTTCAGTTTTGGATTTATTTTTTAAATAATGCTTATAGAGTAGTGTTAACATTAAGTTTAGAGTAGTCATCTAATGTTCTAGGTTCGGATTGGTCAAGCGTAAAAGGGCTGCCAAGTACATAGAGAGAGGGAGGTTCTGGTTAGGAATGGGCTAGGTATAGGATTGGCTAAGGCACTTTTTACTAATGATTCTTCAAGGGAAGATAGAAAATTTTAAGCATGACCAAGGTTGTGAGCTATAAGCACTCTCAATTTTGTAATTTTTGTTCCAAATAGATGTTAAGAAGGGACTTTGCAAATGATCCATGTCAGTATTCAGCAGTAGCGTGCTTTCTAAACTTTTAATGTGGCCATGACAGTTTCTTTTGTTCACTTTTAGCTGAACTGTTAGTGCCCGTAGGCACATTCATTTACTTTGTTGGTTACTTCTTGTGATCTTTATGTAAAATAGCTTACTTTCGTTGGATGATGATGATTTGTGCTAGAGACAAAAAGTATGACACATTGGATAGTGATCACAAAGACTATTGAGGCACTGATGGGTTCAAAAACACGACATATATGCCTTCTTTTCTCTCTTACAATGAACTATGTCATTTATGTTGGATATGTGTATGTATCTTTTTTATTTAGAAAAACCATCCTTTTATTACTATACGTAAATAGCACATAAGAAGCGGTATTGAGTTTCTATACTTACTTTGACCATCTTGAATTTAAGTTGGTCGCTTTGTTATATCTTTTATGATATGCTTTTTTCATGGCATATATAATTACAGTTGTGGATAAAAGAAAGTCATGTATAATGTATTGTTCATACAATACGATTATGGGTAAGGTCTGCATTTTGGGGAGTTATTATTAGAGTTGAATGAGGATGTATTATTCTCTCATAGTTAATGATTCAATATTGTTAAATTCAAGTTCTCTTTAGTTATTGAATTGTCCTTTTGCAAGAAAGGATTGGAATACTGCTAACGTTTGGTTGATATTGCTTCTGTACTTTGGATTTCTTTTCTTCTATTTTCTAATTGCCGGTTGCCAATGGGGATGGATTTGTTCCTGTTTTGCAATCAGGTTAGTAGGCAGATAATTAAACCATCAAGCATGTTATTAGTCTGTCGGAATTAAATTTCATGATACGTAGCGAGAGTGGATATAAAAAACTACAAAAAAGTCATTTAGAAGGTCTTTAATAATTTGTCATGTGTGTACTTATTAAATGTATTTAATAAAAAACTGCAAAAAAGTCATTTATGATTTATCTCATATGTGTGATAAATGCATTTAGAGAGAATTCCCTAAATAGGAGTAAAAACGTTTTGAAATTCCAAAATGGGAATATCATGTTTTTTATTCCCTAAATAGGAGTAAGTTTTTGCCAAGTTTGGGCATTACAAGGCTTTAAACATGGCATTTTTTTTCAAACTTGGCAGATTACTCCTATTCAGGGAATAAAAAACATGATACTCCTATTTTGGAATTCCAAAACTTTTTTACTCCTATTTAGGGCAATTTCTGATGCATTTATACATTGACATTTATAATATCTGTATAGTACATCCCGCACGGGTGGAATACTAGTTATTCATCAAAAACAACACATGTGCCATCAGTGACTCATCCATCCCAAATGATCAACCTTGTACATTCGAGCAGCCTCGCCAATGGACTTCCGTGTTTTACAACTCTTTTAACTAAACATCAAATATCAATCTCTCAATTAATTTAAAATCCCAATTCTTTTACTTCTATTTTTTGTTTTTAAAAAACTAAATATTTATCATTATCGGTTAAAACAAATGTTATCCTATAAAATACTTCATCCCTTAAAATTTTTGCCAAGTTTGACCGGCACAGAGATTAATAAAGCAAAACCTGTGTGGTTGATGTTTGTGCAGAAGAGAGAGAATTATCTGGAACCACAAATTCTTAACTTAAAAGGGAAAGTGACAAAGTTAGTATGACATCCAAAAAGAGAAACTCGACAAAGTTTTAAGGGACGAAAGGAGTAGTAAACAAAAAAATGAATAATCACAATTAGTAATGTATTATCAGTTCTGAATAAAGTATTATACGGATTAGTTTAATTGTGATAATTTTAATTGGACTGCAATACCTAAATGTAATATTAACTAATAAGAATTAGAAACCCGCCTAACCAATAATGAAAGTGTCCTGAGAAAACACTTACTTGAACAATCTTTTCGCACGGTTCGTTTAACCAATGTAGAGAATGAAAACACAGCTTAAGACTAAATTAGGACACTCAGAAGCACGAGAGTGTGACTTCACTAAACACTTGAAAGCTTCTCAATTTGAAAGAATAATTGCAATGACCAAATTAGATTATCTTCAAACTGAACGTTGCAAATTATATTCCAATTGAGATTGAGGAGTTGGAGGACTTACTTGCTAAGAGAGGTCAAATGAAGCAAACCATTTTCGTTAAACCATCCTAAAGACACCACTTTCTACAATCCTAAGGAACACTTAGGTTTCTAAAACCCGTGCAATTTAAAGAAAGTCAACTGCGTTCAGCCGTATGACATTCGATACATGGGCTTGGGTTTGACGAAACTTATGCACTCTGTGGGAGCATCCGAAATTGATGCCGAGGAAAAGGAAAAGAGAGAAAATAATTCAAAGACTGAGATCTTGTTTGACTACACTGACCTAAATACTAGTTATAAGATAAGGGAAATTCCTCTGTCTGAAGACTATGCATCACTTTTTCCCTCCAGCAAGTGAGTCTGAGTCTGTGTTTGAGGGGAAGACTCGTCTGTTTCTGAAAAACCTAAAACTGATAGGGAGAAAGACCAAAAATG